TTTTTGTCCATTCTTATTTTATTCCTTTAATTTGTATTACAAACTATTTTAATATATTAATATAAATGCTTAAATTAAAGTTACAAAAAAAATTATTTGAATGAGATTTTAGTATAATTGAATGCACATTCCCAAACATATTGTCACGCCCCAGAACCCATTCGGGAACGTGATAGACGCCATGCACTCATAACGAGTCCCACGAATGCACAAGACTCAGAACTTACTGAGTTCTAAATTTTCAATTCAAATAATTTAAATCTAAAACTCAAGTAAAATCTAACTTTCCATTTCCAAAAATTTACTATTCCAGATACACAAAAGTTTATAACGATTATGGCTATAACCCAGAAAACTCTGTACACAAAATGGTCACCCATGAGAGACTAGCGACCTAACTCCAAAATATCTAAATCCAAATAATGCCTAGCCGTCTAGCTCGTCACTCGCCCGGCTCCCCACATGTCGGGAATCACTACCTCAAATGGTGGACAAGGAAAACGAGGTGAGATAAAATATCTCAGTAAGTAAAAATATGGATAGCCCTTAATAAAAATTTTAAGCATGCCAGATAAACAGTTTAATATAACAAACTTTCAATGATAAACTTTCAATGCTAAACCATTCATGCATAATAAAACTCATCAGTAGTCTCATCTATAAGTCATGGCCAGTTTTTAACAAACTTCCACTGGCAGGTGTCAGTAATAGTACCAGTGTTTAACAAACTCCCATTGGCAGACGTTAGTAATAACCAATGTTTATCCCCATTGGCAGGGTTTCAGAAGTACCAGTGTTTAACAACTCCCACTGGCAGGCATCAGTAATGGTACCAGTGTTTAACAACTCCCATTCGCAGGCGTCAGTAATAACTAATGTTTAACCCCATTGGCAGGGTGAACCAGTTCTACAGAAATACATGTCGACATGTGCTAGCGTTTACAGCTCCCACTAGCAGGCGTCAGTAATCATGACTATATCCAAGACAAAACCATGCAGAATTCACAAAAATCCAATATTCATCATAAATCTCGATTTCAGGAATAAACCGGAAAGTTTCATGTGGGCATGCTCACTTCGGAAAAACAATTTCATAAAAACCTTCACAACTTTCATGTGAGCATGGATTTAACAGAAAAACTCAGCATTTACAAAATTCTCAGTTCATCAAAACAGTTCAGTCAATTCCAAATAGGCATGCTCTACGCAATACAAATGAAAACAATTCCATTTCAAACCAATCGTGCTCGATGTAATAAAACCAATTTAAAATCCATTTAAGCCTTGCCACCATCTCAAAAACAAATCAAAACATACTTTTAAAAACTGTACAAGGCATTACCATAAATTTACTTACCTCAAATCGCACCAACTCGAACACTAATCCCAAGTGCTAGGGTGCAGGATAATCAAGTACCTAATCAAAACACCCCAGAATTAATAACCATATGAAAACTACCAATTTAATCCTTTCTAATGTTATTGACAATTAACCTCGTAAGGAAATTTTGTTTCCTTTTATTTATTTATTTATTTATTTATTCATTTTTCTATCCGAATTCAAGCACAATCAATTGTGCACTCATATATTTGCATAATTCACATCAAATTCTCCCATTTACTCACGGACAACACATGGAGAGCATGGTTTGACAAACCACAACTCACACACACACGGGATTTTTCTCTCCAAAACATCACAGCAGCCTAATTAAACTAATTCCTACATGAATTAACTAAAACACAATTAAAGCTGCCGAAATCTTCCATTTTTTTCCTTGACAGCATTCGGACAATCACAGGGCAACCACACAAAGACCAAATTCAGCAAAGCAACCACCAATCAAATGAAATTTGGACTTAAATAAAGCTGTCCATCATACCAGAAAATTCCGGCGAGCAACACCGGGTCCGGCTGGGAAGGAAGCTGACGGGGGAAAGCAAGGGGAGACTCACGGCAACTACCAAAATTGAGGGAAATAAAAAGAAATTAGAATAACCCAACTTGAACTAAGGCTAAAGGGATGATTCTTAGTTGTTCCCTTACCAGAAAACCGGGAAACACTCCACCGGCAAGAGCAGATCGCGGAAGGACAGGGCAGAGCAGAGCAGATCCGAAAATCTGCAGAAGCGAGGGGGATTTCTGGGTTCACTTCCAATCCTAGAACAAGAAAGAAGGAGAATTTTCCAAGTTTCACCG